ATACAGAGGTGTTGCTGTAAATAAAACCACTTATTAATATTAATATAATTGTTTTCCCATATATATATATATTTAAAAAAGGGATATCTACAATTCCGTCAATACTATAGTTTTTAGATCATAGGATTGTGTTGATTTAGAAATGGTTTGACCTCGTTTCGCAAGTTCGCTGTGCTTTCAGTGAAACTGAGAAAGCACACCTTGTCTGGAGTCAATCGCGTCCCAGATTATTTCCAGTGTCGGACTATAGATGTATACTCCGGCATCGTAAGTGTGTCTTGAAACTCTTTGCACCGCACGACAACTCAACAAAGAGACAATACTATTGTCGCATTCACCTTCAAATACATAATTTCGAAATGAATTTACTTTAACGGATTTATTTAGAAATGGGTAAATGAGGCAGTAGACCTCTTCAATGGCAGCTCTAAATGATAAGGAGGAGGAGTCCTTAAGGAAATTGAAAAACTGAAGATGTGGCGAAGGACAGCTAGGGAATAGGGTTTCCGAAGCCTAAGAAACATAAAAAGAGCAGCATAAATGAGAGTCAATTTCGCGAGCAATATCCGCTAATGCAAAGGTGCATATCTTATGAGGAATTCCTCTATGACAGAAATCGTGGCCGGGATCGTGGAATTATATACAGTCCGTTAGATAGAACACTGCTTTTCAAGTGCAGATATATGTAGCATACAAAAATTGAGCAAAGTAAATGGCAGAGTGGAAATATGGGCGGAAGCCAAAATATTTCCGGATGGCATCAGTAACCGGTGATGAAAGGGATTATACTTTACTAAATCTACTTAGAATGACCAACTCTTAGGAGACATTTGAACAAACGAGGACACCTAGAGGTAAAGTTAGTTAATTTTTCCATATGTAGTGGGTTTAAGTATAGAGAATATAGGGTTAGGAGCTAGGACATGGAGGAAAATTTTTTTAGCAGAAAATCCTTCGATATTATTGTCCTTACTTGCAACGTTGACGAGCTGTAACTAGGCGCTAAGAGGCTTGCCATCGTTGACGATGCAAAGTAAACGTCCGGAAGTACATAAAATCAACGAATAAATGCTGACAGATGAAACAACTACTATGAAAAAATATGCAGGACTAGTTACATTGTACAAGGTCATAGTGTCACACCGACTAAATTGCAAACCTAAGCCTAGTGAACAATATGCGACTTCACTTGTAAGCTACATGAGAAATGTGTAACCCAACTTAAGATTAGACTATCAAACGCTACTTTCTCTAGTCTTTTTCTCAAATTTATAATTTTATTTTTAAAAGATTTTTAAAAAGTTTTAAAGAGATTTATCTAGTCATGTAGTTAATACCAATAACTTTACAAAATACGGTTGAAATTTTATACTATCATAGCAAAATTATTGTTTATTATCATAATAGCTTCTTCATTTTTCTGAGTTACCGATCAAGTTAGTTTCTTGGTCAGGATCAATCGATGGTTATTAACTATGAGCTATAGTATGTGATGGCTTTATCAGAAAGCCACTAGGTATTCGTAAACACTGAGTATGTTAAAGTGAAAAATAGCCCATATATAGGAGCATATTGATTTAAATAAAGCATAAAGCCAGTAAAATTGTTTGGTTTTTGATATTAATTGTTTTTTTAAAGAATAATTTTATGCAAGATATTAAGACCAAGATGTTGTGACCATTTTTATGGTCAGAGTCTCCTTTCGTAGAATAGAAGTAGTTTGACCTTGTTTTCGCAACTTGGTCATATTGGAAGGAAGACCTAGAGCAACGCGCCTAGTTCTGAGTCCATAATGTTCATGACAATTTTCAGAGTCGGACCATGTACGTGGTGTATTCCCAGACTTTTCGTCGGCATTGTCAGTGAGCATTGCCAATCTTAGCAACACACTACAACTCGTCAAAGAGACAAGTGAAGCCGATCCTTTGAACAATTATTTGCTAAACAATTGTGGTATCTCATTTTCTGCCCTGTTTTATTCACCAATCCTATATCCTCGTATCACCCCTTCACTATCAAAATTTTTTTACATGCTTATTTAAATGTGGTATGTTAGCCCTTTTGAGCGGATTTAATATCTACACCCCATGTTGGCTTTCTCACCCTCACCTCCCTTTACCCTTGTGCTGAGAATGTGGCTCAGAGTCTGCTATATTGTTCCGCAGTCCTCCTTCCATAGGTCTTATCATATTTTCCTCTTTACCCGTTGGATTCGTCTGATATATCCTTGGTTCAAGTAGCTAACTTGACCTCTGCCACCCTTTCTGTGTTACTCGAGGGGTTATTTCTAACGCTATGCCTCTGGGAAACTAAAGTGAGGCTAAAGAGCCCGAGTAATTATCGTGGTCAAGCCTATGCTTCATGGATCTATGATCAAACACGTCTACTTTTAGCCAACTAGCTCTGGTCCCCGCCGCATCTAGGGTGCGAAGTAACGCCTCGAGTAGCACAAATATGATGACAGATGTCGAGTGAAATGCTTGAACCAGGGACATAGCAGACGGATCCTACGGGGCAAGAGGGAGACTCTGATAAGACGTATGGAAGGATGTGTAACAATAGAACAGACTTTGATTAACATTCCCAGCACAAGGGTGAAGAGGGCTGAGGAGGTGAGAGAGCCAGCGTGGGGTATAGAGAGTTCTCATGAAATCCGCTCAAAAAGACACACTATACCACATTTAAATAAGCAAGTAAAAATTGTGATAATGAAGGGATGATACGAGGATATAGGGTTGGTGAATAGCCCAGGGCAGGAGAGATATGACAATTTGTTAAGCAAACAATTGGTAAGAAGATGAGCTTCACTTGTCTCTTTGACGAGCTGTAGCGTGGAGCTAAGAATGGCAAGGCTCCCCGACGAAGCTGGGGAAACGTCTGGAAATATACCGCGTCCACGGACCGACTCTGGAAATTACCATGCATACTATCGACTCCAAACTAGGTGCATTGCTTCAGGTCTTCCTACACAAAGTCAAACAACTTCTATACAACGAAAGAAGACTGTAACCATAAAAAGGGCCCCACCATCTTGATCTTTATACCTTCGATCATATGTTTCTAATGTTAATATTTTCCTAGGGTTAAATTGGAATGAGATGAACTTTATTTATTTTCGAGCAATGTAAGCTGTCTGGATAATTAATAAAAATAACGATTATTAATAATACAACTTCAAAGATTAGATGGTGCACAATAATTGAGTGTATGAATAATGTAGTGACGGATAAAGTGACTATATAGTGAAACCGTACTCTGAATATAAAATTTAATTCTTCAGCAATATAGCTCGAAGACTTTATTCAGTCACCAAAAAATAAAGAGAACACTAAGGTAGAGACAGTATTTTGTTATACGAAGTAGTAATGAGAGATGAGGATTGCGTTTTGAGGCCGAGCTAAGGAAAGGATAAATCCACTAAAGGTTTAATTCGAATTTTTTAAGAGAATTGTTTACACTTACTCTGCTTTGATGAGTTGTAGCAAATTGGATAATTGTTCCCAACAATAATTCTCGTTAGTTTTCTCGATTCCTAGTTCATATACTTAAC